TGCTCTTTGCCAAGCGGAAAGATAGCTAGAAAGAAAGCAATTCGTTTCCTCTGCCATCCAACAAGAATAACTTTTACGAAACCCGTTAGGAAACAAAACTTTTTTCCCGTCTTCTTATTTTTTTTTCTTCTCTTTCTAAAAAATTTTTCTTTTTCTAAAATTTTTTCTCGTAAATTTAAAATATTTAATATATATACATTGCATCTTTAAAAATGCAAATTTTTCAAGTATCATCAAAAATCACTTATATTTTTAAATATATAAAAAAGAAATATACATTTTTTATGCCGAAAATTGATATAAAATAGTTAAATGAATTAATCGTTTTATTCTATTAAGTTTTTACTTATATTTAAAAACAAAGAAGATAGAATTTGCATATAGTTTTTTTTTTACTTCTATTTGTTTTTGGTATCGTAATTGGGAAGAAATTATTAAAGAAATTGGAATAAAATATTATCCAGAATTGCATGACAGTTCACGCTTTGGTCGTATCGCGTCGAGTTCAAATTAAATAGCATACATTAACGTAATTTAATTATTTTCATATTTTTATAAACTTTTTTATTAACATTTTTGCTTAGAGAGTAAATATTTTAAAATAATTTTTTATGTTTCAAATTTACGTCTCATCCTCTTTCTTATTCCCACACTTTCTTTCTTTCTTCAGCCTAGACCCTTGACTAGACTCCACCCCTAAAAATATTGATATAATAATATATAATCATTACCCAATGCAAAGCAACGAACCTTATCAGCTAATATCCTGTAAGCATTTCCAATAAACAATTATAAAAGCAAGCAAAAGAAAAAATATTATTAGTAGCTTTAACGTTTTGTTCATTTTACCCGATGAAGTTTAAAATAAATAGGTAAATAATCTTCACATTTAAATTTAATTATGGGTAAATTCTACGTGCACAGTGTTTAACGTTACTGGCGCGATCATTCGTTAGATTCTTATGAATATGGTACTAATAATCGAATTATTTTCTAATCTGCTCTCAAATATATAAATTATATATAAATTTTTAAATTTTTACGTTTTTAAAAAATTAAAGAAAACATTAATTATTAATAATATTATTAACACGCGGAGCAACGTGCTAGATTAACAACTTTTAACAAAAATAAAATTTTAATTCTCCTTCAAAAACTTAAATAATTCGATAAATTTAATAGTTTTAATTTATTCCTGAAGGATATAGTACTAAATAAAGTGGTGTTATCTTTATCTCAACGTAAGAAAACGCCTACGCTTATCGTTATATCTTCCACAAATCGATAAAAAAATGCCTCAAACTATGAACTATTTTAATCAAAATCATTTAATTTAATCTAATTTATTATTTGTCTTCTAATTTCTTCAATAAAATATATTTCTATCTCGATTATTTTGCTTAATTTATATAATATTTTTCATATAACCACATGCATAATGTAGAATATTTTTTCAAAATTCGTAATCAATTAAGAATATTTATATTTTTAATAAAAGTGTAAATTAATTATAGCAACGTATATATATATATATATTACATCATCTAATGAAAAAATAAAATGTTTTCTTAGTTTTTTTAAACATTTAATAATAAATACAAATATATTTTTAAAATATCTCTACCCGTTTTACAAATATATTTTATTATAGAGCGGCAAATTAATTAAATTTAATTTAATTTTAATATAAAATATCATTTTAAAGTTTTAAAATGCAATTAGTAATTTTATCAAATTGAAAAAAAATGTTTTAATTCAATATCTTTTAATATTCTTAATATTTTATAACGAATAATTTTATTTGTAGTTATAAAATTATTGCCAAAATACATCAAATATTATTGTTTTAAAATAATTTATAAATTAAAATCTAATAAAATAAATAAAGAAATTTGCGTAAAAAATAATAATACACTATTTAATACAGATTCGTACTTTAACACCATTTTGAATTTGAAAGAAAAAAAATGCAATGACTAGAAGCAATAATTACAGTCTACGAAACCAGCTTTCTCCTTTCCTATTAACTACTTCGATAACTAGCTACATTTCAAAGAATTTAAGCATTTTTCTATGTTATTCTATTAAATCCCGTTGTTGCAAACCGCTAGTACGTAAAGGCATACTACCTAGAACATCGAGCGTTATGGACGTAATTAAAAGTAAGAGAGAAGAATTGAGATGCTGCAAGACTAGATACAATTTCCATAATGCAAGAAATATAAAGTAACGGGGATATACTGTTCGGGCGGTACGTTTCTACCGTTAAACCAGGGAGTTGCACTAACGAAGAACAGGATGAGTTGCCTGAGGGGTCGGAGAGTTCACTGAGAGCTTCCTGGTATGGCAGTGGTTTTAAATTACTGATGTGAAGTTGCTCTGATGATTCGTACCGAGATTATTAGAGCTACACCTGATAAAATGAAATGTTTCAGAAGCTAAATAATAGTGAAGATACGCGAAGGGAATAGAAAATAGAATCAACTTGGTTAACGCATAATTGACCCTTTTAATCGTGTATATTACTAATTCCCGAAGAGATTAAACGTTTCTAATAAAAAAAAATGTTATATTAATAATTCAATTTATGTTTTAAACGTTTATAAATAATTATTATGCCCTAATAAATCGAGGAATTACTGTATAAGTAAATGTCCGAGAGAATGCATGCTATGAGAGAGAAATCCTGGGAATGATGTTTTATTTTAGGTGACGCTGCGAGGATTTGATCTTCCTGATATTTTTCGTATAATAATATTTATAGTGCCACTTAAAAACATTATTATTACTAAGTGAAATATTGACCAATTATCCTAATTGGCGACTTGTTCTAACTTAACTTATATACCCGTAATTATTATAATTATCTTTGCATTATAAAGCTTGAATAACCCTGTGATGTAAAATTTTATATTCTATTATTTGATATATAAACATAATTCGCTTTGCAAAGAAGGAATACAATAGTTTGTTAAAATGGGAACGTGCTAAGAATTTTGAACTGTATATTACAGAATTTTTACTATAGTTTCAGAAAGAAAATATTAGATAATGAATGAATCTAACAATTAAAAAATTTAAATTTATAAGCAATCATCAGTATGGCTTTATAATGTAAGTTATATATAATATAATTTCTGTCTGTTTCCTATACACTTCAAAACTCTTTGACCGATCTGGAATTAATTTTATAGATACGCTGTAGAACTCCGCGGAAAATATAGGCTACCACAATTCCCCTATTACCTCCTAAACCAGGGGTCCCTAAACATTTTTGGCTATCGATCTCTTCAAGGATTCTTAAACCTTTTATCGACCTTCTCTTTTTATGCTAATACAAGTTAATAACGATCATTATTATTAATAAAACAATTTAATAACAATTAAATAGTATTAATTCACATACCGTTTTCATAGAAAAATCTATTTACGAGTTAGTGTACATATTTACAAGATCTTGAACCGTTTTAATCGACCCCCAATTCCACTAATTTCTACTCCCAAAAATGCATTATCGATCTCTGGGTGTCGATAACCACTTTTGGGACCCTGTCCTTTGACCGAGCTAGATCAAATTTTTCAGTTATTCTATAGGAACCTGCGGAAAATATGGGCTGCCATAAAACTCTCACATGCTGATTTTATCTTCATAACACTTTGTGATAATTTAGGTTTAATATATTATTTGTACAAGTAAGCATTGCATAATGATAATGAAGATACTAAACAGTCCATGAATCATATTCTTAGTAATAGAGACTTCTGGATTTAGAATCTCTGCTGAAACAATACTATTGATTTGATTTATCCTAAAATAACCAAACTCTTAATAATATAGTTTTAATTTTATGTTTGTCCTTATTGCTTTTCGCTTGGACAATGCCGGGTATATCTGCTAGTAATATATTTATCGAAATATATGTATTACGTTACAATAAAAATAACTGTAAAGTTTTAAAATCGCTATAAATATTGATCTATTCACTGCGATAATAATATGAACTCAGCCGAATAGACTATATTATATAATTTGAAAATATGTCCTTTAAGAGGTTATTAGTTTTTTTAAAAAAGGAAATATACACATATCTCCGCTTTTTTATTTTTTCAACCAATCAACTCTAGGATAATTAAAACTCCGCCCAATTTTCATTATAACATATCCAAATAATATCTTATGCATATCACAAGGCGCCACCTGTGTTTATAATGACCTCTTTTATGTCATTTATTTAATATTTCATTATTTCTTATTCATAGATTATTATATTTAATTAAGTTTCATTTTTAAATATAGATAAAGTTATTTACTTAGAATGTATTTTAAAAACTTGTTTTTATCTTAAAACATTAATTTCTTAATAGAATAGTTTGATAAGACACATGTTATTATTTCATATAAATTATTTTCTTATTAATTTTAAATATTTAAATAGATCAAATGTGATTTTAAGAGCTAATACAAATATTATGGTTATTTAAAGAATATTTCTTAAATTAATTTTTTAAGCTATTAAAAAGATTTTTTATTGTACATTTGGAAGAAAATAAATTATAAACGNAACGAATACTAATTAATAAAAAATGTACCCTATCAAAACAAACGCATAGATTCTGTACAATTTCCATTCATAAAAAGAATTTCCAGCAAACAAATTTTACAACTAAAATCTTTTTTAATGTGAAATATAAATTTTTTTATTTAAAATTATATTACTCGTATTAATTTATACATTAATACTAAATAAAATCAACTTTACTCTCTTAAATTTTTAATTTTATCAAAAGAATAGTTAATAAACTTAATTCTCTGCGCGATAAAGAACTTTATACCGGTAATATTAAAAAAGATTTATTTAATAAAAAAAACTTAATATTTTCAACTACTACTTCAAGAACTTCGATTAACGCTTGCAACGCTATTACAGCTTATTGTTAACTGAAAGTATTATTTAAAACAACAATATAAATATAAATTACTGTAAATGAAGATAATTGAATTGATTTAAATAATTCAAAATTTCATTTCTAGTAACTTAATATTCTTATCTTCAATATATGGATTATTTTAAATCAACAAAGTTTATTTTAATTCACTTCCTACGGGATTAGTCGTATATTGTGGAACGGGTATCATTTTGTTTCAATATGGCAAAAGACGCAAGTAAATAGCTTTTCTAGAATTTAATTTCACACGTAGAAACAAAATACAATAATTTATATTTATTGACATATTGCAGTAATTATGTAGAGGTTAAGTGAAGTCCTAAAGAGATACTTCTACAGATAATGTGATCTATATTTGAGTTAGCATAGCATCAAAGTTGAAATGCATTAGACGTCGCGTAGTCTTTTATTCAACGTGACGGAAAACGCGATCGTAGTTTTTTAAATGTCAATTGTACAAGTAACAAAATATCATTAATTGTATTTTCTTACAACGAATGGTTCGTGTGTTACACACATATTCCAAATATTATATACGTTAAATACAGGGAAGGCAGACAATATGTAGAGTGTTCAATACCCATTCTAGTTTCGTTGTTATAAGCATTTTTTCTTTTAATTTTCTTGTATGTATTGAATGCTTATTTCTCCTGTACCGTGCATTCTAATTATCCTCCTGTATAACAGCATTATGTGATACTTATCTGTATCATTTAAAATCCCTTAAATAATAAAATTTGCATATTTAATACGCTAGAAATTTTTCAAATTCATTTCTAGTTTTTTAGATCCCTGAATATCTATTCTTATAAAAGCGATTTCTTTAAATACAAATATACCATTGTGAAGCATTCTAACATCAATCTATAGTAAAGTTAATCGTTGTTTTACCTTATTGTATCAATATTATATATAAAAGAACAGATATAAGATATATTTTTAGGTACAGTTAAATACTTTTACTTTTCTCTTAATATTAATATATTGATAAGTTAGGATATAGTAATTACAATTTATATAATGTTATGTGTAATCTAATAAGAAAAAAAACGACCTTTTTACTTACTAACAATAAAATCAACGAACTGATAAATATGAGTTTAATTATAAGTTTACAACATTTTTTATAATTCGATACTCTACATAATTATTATAAATGTATTTGGAATATGATTATTTTTNCTTTTAAATTTATTATTCATCTCAAAATTTTGCGCGTTATCCCGATTGAAAAGGGAGATATCGTCCTTATGCTCTACAATTAGATTAGTGACAGCTCCGAATCCTGACGTCACAGTCATGGCGACACCTAAAGGAAACAAAGAGGGGAGCATCCCCCTTAATTATATCTTTGGCTACTGTCTTCCCCTCTTGCAACGATGCCCCCTTTTTCCGATCAAATTTAATTAAGTATGCGTAAAGCAATTAAAGAGACAGAGAATGCTCTAACGAATCAGGGGAAGTAGGGAGGTCAATCTTCCTAATGAAAAGTGTCGCATTTGGGGTCTTTCCTTCCTATAGTGAGTGAATGGAAGGGAAGAGAGCAATCGAAACTGAATTATAACATGGATCTATGAGCTTTCGTAAAGATTGTATGGCGAAAAATTTAAATATAATAAAAGTGAATATATTTTATCGAATTTTGAAGTATTATACAGCAAATGATTGATTAAATTTTTGATCGCGTTGCTTACTATATGCGTATTTTACTCCTTTATTAATTATTACAATTATTTTCAGTGTTAAATGTTGATCTGCTCGAGCGTCGCGCACGACTACGCACGACGCATAGCGAATAATTAAACATAGACGAAGTCTATGTTTATCTCAGCATTAAACAAAGTTAAAAACTGGATAAATTTTCAAGTATCCAATTGTTAAATATCTGTTATAACATGTAAAATACTATTTCTGAAGATTTTTTTAAAACATTCTCTTCATATTGTAGTCGCATCAATTCTCATACAAACAAGACTTTAATACTAATAAGAGTCGTCAGTTCCGAATCCTTTGTTTATATTTTATTTTAATTTGCAGTCTAAATCGATATGTTTCTAAAAATCCGTAACCTTTCATCGCGTTGCTTCGTCGATGAACGATTCAGGCACAATATTAACGGCTTATCTCAATCATTAATCCAATTTTGAGCTATCCGATTAATTATTATAATTCGTGTCTAGACCACATTCTACGCATCACATTGAGCGTACTTGCATCGCATCACGCGCTGCCTAGCAATACAGCTCATAAAGTAAATGATATATCTGTTTGTTAAATATATGTAACAATAGACAAATTTTACTCTGTTATTATAAAAAACAAAAACATTGTTTGTGGACTATAGGCCACAAATATAACTGCCATCCAAACAAATTAATATATCACGATTTTACAAAGTTACGCACGCGAAAATGGAAACTAGAACATATCTAATTCTTGTATTTATAGGTATTTCAGCATCGCGAAAATATTTAAAACGAAAATTTTGATTCATAATTATATTATTTAAATTAACGAATACTAATTAATAAAAAATGTACCCTATCAAAACAAACGCATAGATTCTGTACAATTTCCATTCATAAAAAGAATTTCCAGCAAACAAATTTTACAGTATTATAAGACTATAGAACTGACAATATTTAACAAATTCAATAACTCTAACATGAAAATAATAATTAAATCATTTAAATTTATATTAGTTCGGTATGAGGTTAACTACATAAAGATAAATTTCGATGAAATCCAAATTACAAATGCTTAGTCTTTAATGTGATTAAGCAATCTAATTTAAAGTACAAAGGCTCTTTTCATATTTAAATTATAATTCACTTGTAGATGTCTCTTTCAGGAAATTACAACTTGCTTTTAACAAATGAACTATGCTTCATAATCAGTTATTTGAGTAGTTAGAAAGCAAATTGTGAACGTTGATCCTGTTGCTCTTTTCTCGGCTTACACTTGTCATTGTTATCGACACGTGCTACATCAACTATTGATTTGAATCTTGACTCATTCAACAGAAATAATTCTCTAAGCAGAAGCGATCCATATGCTCCCAAACTGGCGCCAATTGACGTTTCGACCAAAACTCCTGTTTTGTTTCTAACGTAGACCACTAACGCAACTCTGAACGACGCCTGAACGTCGCAGCACCACCTCGTGTCGTGCTCTGCTTCTATTAGCGCCTCTTAACGCCATTCAAACGCTAAATTGCGTGACTGGCAACCTCCCTGCCATAGTGTCGCGTAAAATGCTGTCACGTGACTAGCGGCGTCACGAAACCCTGACACTTAGTGCAAGGTGTCACGCGAAGCGATCAACTATCTTTCGATCGTCACCTTTCGACTCTTTTTCGAACCGATTTTTGTTGTCTACTTGTGATAAATTTTTCGAAATATAGATAAAATATGACACTTTTCGGTATATTTAAAATTTTATAAGGGTGTATATCTTCTTTCGCTATGTCCTTCATATATACATGCTCATAATGGCATGTTCATCCTGAGAGAAGAGCCATAGATCATTTTTATCAACTTCGATTTTAAGTGTTGAAACAACTGATTATATCGCATAATTCATAAATTTGCATTTTAAAAGTAAATTCAAATTTTGTGCATATGTTAAAGTATGCATGAGGTCTATATTTATATACAAAATTAGACTTATTATAAGAATTTATAACAGGGGAAAATCCTCTATAAAAGGGGAATAAACTCATTCGAATAAATGATTATATTGCATAATTCATTGATTCATATATTAAAAGCGAATTCTAATTTTGCAAATATAAATTGTTACAAGAAAAATAATATCAGTAAGTTAGTATGTCTGAACTACTGGTATTATACATTTATAGCAAAGAAAACCTATTTTTAAAAATGAAAAATTTATATCACCTAATTTCAATTTACATTTATTTATTTATATATGACTAAAAAGTAATTTAGTAACACGAGAAGTCAGTATGTCTAATGTAATGATTTTATCTTGATTTTAACTATTTAAACAGTAAAACTAAAAGCTACTATAAAACAGAAAAATTTTATATTAGAATAGTGAAAACTAAGACTTACCTTAATAATATATGAACTATTTAAGATTAAAGTTATTAATGTAAAGATTATCTTATTTAAAAACGAATCTCTGAAAAATAAAACTATATAGATCAAAGGAAAATTACTATTAGAATATGGAGAAACTATTAAAAACAGATTAAATCTATACAACAATAAAAAGTACTCAAGTAAAGGAAAAATTTCTGAGTTAATATCAATAGTAAAAAGACAGTATAGGAATAGCAGAATATCTTAAATCTTAACGATTAAACTGACTGATTAACAGTACTTAATATCCATTTATCCAAAATATCGGTTATTTATTTTAAAAATACGTTTAAATATACTCAAACAAAGAAAATAATTAAAAATTCAAAATAAAAATTATAGTTGACGTAACATAAATTATTTTTGAAAAAGATAAACGCTACAGTTAATCTCTTAGATACACATATATTTAATTATAAGAGTAGCAGCCAATGATTTACCCCATTCATTCTTATTTTTCTTTCTTATTTCAAGAAAGATTCTCGAGACCAAAGCCTATAAGAAAGGTTGCATTTTTGCTATTTGATGAAAGACTCCTCATTATTTTTTTTGAATTGGTTCTTCACAAATGTAAAATCACCCTCTTATAGTTTCCGTCATCTTAATAACCGTCATCTCACTTTCATCAAATGCTATGAGCTTTCTTCAGCTTAGTCATTAGTGATCAATGGAACAAGTATGCCCCGTGTCATTTCTTGCTCTCTTTCTCTCTCGCTCTAGCTCTTTTTTTTAAAAAAAAAGACTCACTTATCTTAATCAAAAGTCTTCGCATAGACTGCACTTTAAAATGCTGAAAAATTTTATTATACTTTAAAGCAAGACTTTATGTTATAATATCCTATTTTAAGCATTGCATATAAACATAAAATATAAGATCGATATGTTTAAATTTAACTTTAAACAATTTTAAAATTTATTTAAGTTTAAAAGTTTTATTATTTTATATAACATTTCGTTTAATTTAGTAATAAAATATTATTTAATTACAGGTCAGAGTACACAGTGTATATACAAAGTTATATGACATTCATGGTAAATTTTAATAAATTAATGATGAAAATAATTTATAATATTATTTAATTTACAAGTAAAAAATATAAATTAAATTAATGGTAAGTTCTGGTAAAATATTATTTAGTTTATAGTCAAAATAAACAGTAAAATTAATGATTAATAATATTTAATTAAGAAGAAAAATGGATAAATTAATGGTATACTTTGCTAAATATTATTTAATTAATAGTAAAAAGATATTATAATTTTTACAATAAATTATGGTAAAATTATTTGATACAACGTTTATAGTAAGTAATCTTACCATTAAAAATTGAGTGTAAATAAATTTAGTGTTAGCATTGTTTTATGATAAAAATTTATTTTAATATAAATTTTCACTAAAATTTTATAACATTTTATGTACAAACTAGTTACTTTTAAATTAACTTGATATAATTTTTTCAATAAACTCCGATATATTATGATATTATATGGTTATGTTCTAGTTAATTAGGAATGAAATATTCTCCTTTGTAGTTAATTATAACAAGTTGAAATCACCTAGGAAATTTGTATACAAAATTATCTGATAAAGTTTATTATTTTGCAGAATATTAAGAGAATATATAAAGGGTTGAGGTCGATTTTTAAAAAGAAACTTAAATTTATCGTCATGCAATATTTCATTTTCCTGTAATCTAACTTGGCAAAACAAGAAAATTACTAATTTATACATCCTAACACTTTCATAATTATAATAAGAATAAGCTTAGAATAAATTTTCCGCAATTAAAGTGCAATGTATCCTGAAAGAAAATTCATACATGTTTCATTTATTTATCTATTTTTATATTTAATTCATTAATTATTCTTAGAAATTAAAGCTGATCACTCAGTTAAAGATATTTTTAAAAATTTTTAACAATTTAATATAACGTACAGTACTTTCATTTGTTATCTATTATTGTTATAATAGTAAAATATCCATTTACCTCCCGTTATTTTATCCTATTTAAAATATAAATCTATTTAACATATTTTACACAGTGCATTCATTTTATCATGATAATGCACTCTTTTACGTCATTTTGACGTCGTTCTTATGCTTTTATTACAATGAAAAAGAGTAAAATGACGTCATATTGAAGTGTACAGTACTGTACATTATTTCGACGAAAACGAATGCGTCTATAGTCACAGAAGCTGTAACATAATCTTAGAAAAAACATAATTTTACAAAATAGAATCTATCAATAAAAATTAAACAGTAAGTTAAAGAGCTTTTTACTAATGTTAGTCTCTATATCAAATTATTTAAATTCAAATTATAGGTACAGTATATATATTTTTAAATCACTGATAGTTACGATTACTCATTCGAAAATGTGATAAGCAATGATATAGTGAGTCTAATGCAAAAAATAATTTATGAAAATGGAGCAGTTTTTATCATTTTGCTATTTTGTCTAAGTCATAATTCTTACTATTTTTAGAAAAATTAAATATTATAGATCTGTGAGTCTAATGCAAAAAATAATTTATGAAAATGGAGCAGTTTTTATCATTTTGCTATTTTGTCTAAGTCATAATTCAAAGTATTTTTAGAAAAATTAAATATTTTTAAATTTTCAAACTTTATTTTGAGTCCAGAAAGATGCCTCTGTCAATCATTTTCCTAACCCGACACATCGCAGAACAAAACAGTCCATTTCAAACCACTTTTATCAAAGTGGTTTGAAATGCACATGCTAAACTTCCGCTCATGCTAATCACTTAAAANATATTATACAAAATAAGCTATAATAAATAAAATAAATGTGAGAAATGGAGAAGAGAAAAATTAAAAACATATATGAACATTTTAAGATACTGTATTTATATGATGTATAGCCTATAACATTTTAACAATTTAAATAGCTAATGTCCATATTCACAACGAAGTATCAACAGATAGAAGTTAACCAATAAGCATTCACGTACTTAAAGTCAATAGTAATTGGTTAACGTCTAATTCTAACTCTTGATCTTTGCTTGTGAATACGGCCCTAAAAAGAAAATAATTGGTTGAGAAAGTAAAAATATGAGGAATTATAATTTCTTTTATTTTTTTACTGTCTTATTCACAGTCAAGAATCAAGCGTTAGAGTTAGAAGCTAGTCAATTACCAATCATTTTTAGTGTATAAGCTCTTATTGGTTAATTAACTTTTAATTCCAACTTTTGATCCTAGATTGTGAATATGGATGTTAATGAATTATAATTACAAAAATCACATCTTAAAATTTCCAACCAATTAAAATTCAAATTTTTTTTTTCGTTACGTCTTAGGAAATTGATATCTTAAAAACTACTGCCTACATTTATACTAATGCTTTTATTTATTTATTTATTCTGAAGCATAATAAAAATTATTATATATATTTTAATTGATTTATCTTTTTAAATTATTTTTTAAAATGATAATATTTGTAATATCTTCTTTATCTTAACCATTTAAAATCTCTAAGTAAGCTATTTTCTTTAATTTGAAGTTTATAATTAACAAGCTTAATATAGACGTAAGCAGATTTTTATGAGAAACAAAAATTGAAAAACGATACAAATAAATTTATAAAGTATAAATTATTCATGTAGGTATTTAGTGAATAAAAATCATATTCGTAGATAAAAGAACGTGTTCGTTATGAAACATTTAAAAAATATATCTATGTTGAATTTTTTCTTTTCTTTTATCCGGTTATAGAGTGATTTTTAATATCTTACAATCATTATGATCTCTTATTTCTTTTGCTTATATAACACTAGTTTCTTATTGTTTTATTTTCTATCGATCTCTAAACTCTTCGTCTTATTCTCCACTTTTTTGACTTTTTATTTGTTTTATCTTCATCCTTCTCAGATTTCTTTTCTACGAAATATACAGTGTATATCTTTTTGTAGCTATTTTTTGAAAATATATTTTGTTTTCTCGTTTGAACACGTTCAATGTTTCCCTTTATCTTATACAATGCTCTAATATCATAATTCATTTAACTCTCCTATGCATCTATTTAACTCTCCGTTCAAATAAACAAAAGTTCGGATGAAAATTAAATACTGTACAGAAAATTTAAAATTTGGTATTCTTAAATAATTTTTTTTTGCTTTAAAAATTTTCGTAATATCAATTTTTTATACTTTGTTTCAATTTATATATTCAATAAAACTTGGATATACTTTCGTTATTGCCACTTTTCTTCTCGTTGTAGGATATCTTTGAGTGGCACACAACAATACTTTGCACTTTATTTAGACTCTCAATAAACAGGTTTGCAGTCGGTTTATGTATAGTCGAGGTATAAACTGTATACAGATTTATAAGCAGTTATTTTGATATATTTTTCTTTCAATTAAAATTATTATACTGACACGTTTTTAAAAACTATTTTTCGTCCTCTTATCTGATTAAATTTTATTCTATTCGTGCAAATATAATAACTTAGTAACGTAATAATACATCTATCGAAGGTTAAGTATATGTATATATAATTAGAATGTGGATTTATATATTATTAAGTTTATTATTAATTTAAATATTTAAGAATTGTAAATTCTGCATCTTCGAATGTAGAAGAGAAAATGTTTTTTTATTATTATTATTGATTGAAACGATTTACTGATATTTTTGAGTTCGTGTTTTTTCCACAGATTTGAGATAGTTGTGAAGATGTCAGAAGTACAAAGCTTCAAAATTCCGTCTTTAGGTTTCAGTTATAAACTTTCTAGTGCCATATCTTCTTTCCATTTCGAAAGAAAGAAATATTTTTTCAACACAAAATATTAAATGTCTTTCTATTACTGTTTTCAAAATTATAATTCTAGTAATTAAGTTTAAAATTTAATTTACAAAAGAATTAATTTTTATAAAATATTTAAGAATTTAAAATAGAAATTAAATTTATAATTCAGAAATCCGTTTCGAAATGTCTATCTGTCACATTCTATATTTAAAGAAGTGTTCTTCTAAAGGATTTGCTTTTTGATATGTTTAGTTATATATATTTCTAGTCTAAATAATCTTTTTAAATAACTTTTTACTGTTTAAATCAAAATGGTGGCTAATTATTGAAATTGAAATGCGTCACAGCAACGCCACTTCACTTACTGGAATTTATTAAATAAATCACTTTAATTTAAAATAATCAAAGACTGGGGGAAGCTATGTTTTATGTATTCCTGTAAACATAGACTGTATTAACATTTTTACGAGGAAAATTTAGTATCTTAATGTAATTATTTGAAATCGATGGCTCGATTCAATGACGAACGACGCGTCGACGAGAGCGACATCGTGTAATTCACCAATGATAGGTAGCTGAATTGGTAATATTTTAAAATATAATAAATGTATATAAATCTTAATTTAAAAAAATTCTATGGCCTATATCACAAATTTGTTACATGTACAGTACAGTACATGTTAGCCAAATAATTTGCTAACTTTTCCAATATTTTAAAAATAATAAAAGTAATTTTGACCCTTTAAACTACATTAAAGCTGTATTTTCCATATCACACAAGAGATAGATTTATCTATAAGCAGATTGAGAGGCTTTTTAAGGTTCAAAATTATTTTATCAATAAATTTTTATACTCATTTACAAAAATGTGATGCACCAACAAGGAGACGTTCGAATCGAATAAAACTTTATTAGTGAGAACATAATCAATAATCATGATGGTAATAAGTAATTAAAATATTATAGTAAAGGGATAATTTCCTATAGAACAAGTGTACAGATTTAAAGAAAACCTTTAGTACTTTATGGAACATCCGGTTGCTTGGATACATGCGGAGATACGGTCGGAATTGGAGACATACTGGCACCGAATGCTATACTGCAACAGATTTGCCCACAGATGTTGCAACTGCCGCTCCAAATCCTTCACACTTCGGCCATCTATGGATGGCCGAAGCTAGTGATCCCATCTGTTCCCACAAGTGTTCGATGGGCGACAAATCTGAAGACCAGATAGACCAATGATGTATGGCAACGTGACGGAGACATTCCATCACTAACTGTGTGCGGCGGAGTATTATATTGCTGGAAAATTTCTGTTTGCAATCCTGCCACGAAAGGCAATACATGAGAGCACAGGATTTCTTGAACGCACTGCTGTGATGTCAATGTTTCACGCTTTACTACTAGAAGTGGCTGACTTTTATTCGAGATGGTTTTCCATACCATCACGCCAGAAATGGGGAAGCCTGCTGCTCAACAGTAACAGTAAAGGCGAGATTGAAGCGCTCACCAGTGATCCTCTACATTCTAACGCAGTGATCGTCCATTTCTAAACAGAACTGGAATTCGTCGATAAAGACAATCAGCATCAGTGAATACGAAAGTCTCTGTTACAGCATCAGTGAATACGAAGCCGACAATGTTGGGTGGTAGTGGCTGGACGCGTAGCTGTCGCTTTAAATGCAATTTGTCTTTGCTAGTCTACTGCCAATGCTATAGGAAGAGACAGGGTTCTGTAACGAGGCTTTAATTTATCTATGGATGGTAAACAAGGACTGCGCTGCAACTGTCTGTGATTGTCTCATGATCCGACGATTATCTCTCTTTGTGGCTTGTCTGAGATATTAAGAGCCTGCCACCGTGTATATATGCCCTCACGTATCCACGTCGCCTGACGTTCAAAGATCTTCAAACAATAATTACACTGAAAATTCTTAAAACAGTAAACCTCTATGAGCCTTTTTATAGGATACTGGGATAGTGATTTTAAGACCTCTGATGGCATTACCTGGCGTGCCATTGGACCACAACTATAATTATTTAAACACCTGTCTGAGACATAACTCGATGCTGAATTTTTTTCAGTAATCGAACAATTCTATCTGCGTGTGTAGCATTTTTGTCGATGAGTGTTTGTTTTTTCTTTTTTTTTAATTTCTAATTGTATCTCTCAATGATTTCAAAATATTTTATTAATACCTTGATTATATATTATAATATTAGCAAGTAAGCTCTGCATTGCCCGGGCAAAAAATAATTACAAACATTAAGATTATTAGATTATTTCGTACTTCTAACCCTTCTATTATATTATATTATAGTACTTGATTTATATAACTACAAAGGTTATCTTACGAAAAGGTTTATCACACCAAGTGACCGATCTAACACATTTTTAAAATTCTTTAAATTATGTATCGTAGAGGAATAAAGAATTAAATGTGTTAGATTGGTCACTCGGTGTGATAAACGTTTTCGTAAGATAACCTTTGTAGTTATATAAATCAAATTCTATAATATAACAAACATTAAAACGAAAACCATGTAAATAGTTTGGTTATTTTAGCCTACCATTGTCATGTTTATCGCGATACTCGGATGGTACTAAATGGCACAGTTTCACTGGTCAAGTAGACAGCAATTGAAAGTATGATATCTTAAAAAATTTAAGATATCGTATTTTTTTTTCAATGTTAACTCTTAGAAACTGTACCATTCGCAACTGAATATCAAACAGTGATCTGCCAACGAATCAACTTTCGGAAAAAAACGAAACAAATATTTTAAACTCAGCACCCTCGAAAACCACTTAAATCATATTTTGTGTAGTCTGGTAAAATCGTACAGTATTATGTAAATTTTCTATTCGAATGTCACCATACCGATGGGTCCGATAGGAAGAAGGGATTGTTGCAGATGGAGGTTGAAGTAATTCGACCAAAAGTAGTCGTTGACCTCGCGGAAGAGAGGACGGTCAATGACTACTAATTAATACTGGTCTACTATTATTATCTGAAAACTGATCCGTGTTGGATAGGTTGTGATGGTCCCGCATGTGATCGAAGTTGCTAACCTTAACGTCCGAAAGACTTGATATAACACTTGTTTAAATATAAAAAAATCCTGTAAAATGCGAGAATAATTGTTTTTATGTGATATAAAAATACTGGTGAAACCAGGTCGAAAAAGTAAAGCTCAGCAAAAACATCCAATTAAAAGAAAGTTTTGAAAATTGTGGCATAATAATAGTGAAAGCAGATTTGACAGTAAGACTCAACCCACGAATAAAGTGCACATTACACAGACTACAACTACAGGAAATTTTGAATGAAGCAATGTTGCCATAATAAATAGGAAAAATAAGCATTGGCACAGAAAAAGACTTCCAGCTCTACTTTGTACTGTACCTTAAAATCGTTTCACGTACAGTACTGTACTGTACAGTACATTAATTTGGCTGAAAGTTAGAACATCTTAAGCAGCATTAGTAGGAAGTTTGGGACAATAGGTTTATGAGTTATTAAGGGGATATGAAATCAAGGGAGAGGCGGGATGTCCTTGTTTCCTGGTAGTTAAGAATGTCCTCGTAAATATCGTGTTTATAGAAAAATTATTAGGATTGGTTTGGTTTATTTGGTTACGGCAACGCCAGACCTGACTCTGACAAGGAGGATGCATCCCGGGAAGATTTTCATGTATAGCTGGCCGTATTTAGGTGTTAATAACGCGAAGAATACTCCATATGGCCAGTCCGTTGGCCATGCACGAACCTACGACCGACTACCGGTATTCAGTGGTTTTATCCACTCGGTTACTGGAAAGTACGTACTTATTGGGCTGCAATCTGAAAAAAAAATTGTAGATCTATAAATTCTGACTATCGTCCGTCTGTCTCTGTTCTTCCTTGATCTCGAGAAAGGAGTTAGATAGATGAAAGTCGAAACCTGGCATGGAAATCGTAAGAGAAAGAGGACCAGATTAATTATATATGAACTTCCAATTTGTACCGCAAGTCACGTTATTTCAATTCGAAAAATTTCTCCTGAACGGAGTTAGATACATAACTAGCACGACTCTATTGCTAACAGGAAAAGTATGATGTACAGGGGGAAAACCCAACTACACTCCACGCAGCTATGTGCTACCTGTTGCAATAATGGCAAAATATCTCATCTATTTCGCGCTATATCATTTTTGCAGTAATTCAATGAATATAATATATATTTTNCGACTCTATTGCTAACAGGAAAAGTATGATGTACAGGGGGAAAACCCAACTACACTCCACGCAGCTATGTGCTACCTGTTGCAATAATGGCAAAATATCTCATCTATTTCGCGCTATATCATTTTTGCAGTAATTCAATGAATATAATATATATTTTCTAAAATTCTATTTTTTTTTTTTTGTAAAAATTATATTTAGTTAATTATTTTGTTAACTTTTTTCCAATAGATGGCGCTAAAACCAGCAATCAAATGTAGACAAAAATTAATTATTATGTAGAAATCCAATTGATAATTTGGGGTGGGAAGCTTGACATTATGTAACTTAGAAGTATTTGAACGTAACCGAGTTTCGTAGTAATTGGTCGAACGGCCTAGGCGTGCGTAGCGAACAAACAAACAAACATCCTCATTTATATATATATAGAAGATTTATTATTGTTATTATTATGTTGGTAAATTTTATCCTACTTCGCTAATACAGGAGTTATGCATACCGGACGAACGTCAAAGGCTTAGCTACAGAAAAACTTACTACAATTATGCATATTCGTGTGTTTGTGTTTAAGAATATCCTGGCTACAGTAGGTACAATACATGTGTTTAATATGACAACTTTCGGTAATGTTATGTGCAGGTACTGTATAGTACTTGCTGCTGTAGTCCTAATGTTTCAAGACTTTTGTATAGGCGGTATGACGACTGTGCAAGAAAGGACTATAGATAATATACAATATAATAAGTATCCTATCCATTTTCCACAGGCCCTTTATTTCATGAGCGAGTTCTGAGTATTTATTTTTTTCAGTGTACGTATTTTGTATGTTGTGGGTGTTTGATTATTATTGAAATAAAATAAGAATAAAATAAAATTTTCTATTAAAAGTGTGGGA